AACAGATGATGTCTGTACTTATATATTTGGAAATTACAGCAGCAGTTTTGGTCATAACGTTATGATCTTAAGTAAATAAAATGGTGAAACTGAAACTTATTACAGCATCGATACTGCAACATATAAAGGTGTTGATAAATCAGATAATATTCATATAAATTTTCCCGTAGAAATGTTAAACAACATTTATAAAGGCTTGCTACCTTATAAACTATTTAAGGTAGTAATTTTAACATTTTACACCAATACACAAACCTACAGTAAAAATATATTTACTTCTATTTAAAAAATTGAAAAATGACAAATTTTAATTAAATTACAGTTTATAACATTACTTAGGCACAAAGTACAATTAAAAATAGCCGAAGATTCCTATATATTTGTATTCAAATTGCGTATATTGTTAATCTTACAAAGGACCCAAAGTGCAAATTGGCGTAATTGGACATATTAAATGACCGGTAAACTACTTTGTGTGATAACAGACGTACAACTTTTAAAATCTCGTGCTCAAAATTTTCTGCAGTACAGATTTTTTTGATATTCGTCATGATTTATAATTAGTATACAGAACCTCCTTGATACGGTTGAAAACTTTGAAGCAGTCTGTGAAACACTAGGGTGTGAGGTTGATCACTTCCACCACTTTTGGCATGGACTCAGACACCAGAAGAGTAAGGGAGAATAAGTTAGAAAAACTAAAAATCTATGGAAAACGCAGTTAAATTTACTGTGCTGTCGAGTTTTCTATGGTAACGTAGTCGATTAGAAAGCATCCCGCACCGGACAAATTACAAGCAGTGACCTCACAGTTTTTAGACTAACAAATCACACTCGTCGATGTATGGAGACTTGCACAAGAAACGTTAACTATTCTAGCTGTCAGGGGCCTAACTACCTAATCCACTGCAGCTATTTTACTATGATTAATGTCCCTGCACGAATAAACTACATTGCTTGCTCTAATGTGCTTTAACTGCCTGAGATCTGGCGTAGTACCAAGACCACGCACAAGGTAACCCCAGCAAAGCAGCTACGTTGATACTGACTCTGACAACTAGCAGCTTACTATTAAAAATACTAAACAAAATTATGACTATCTATCCTATCAACAATCAAAACCCAGCTGGAAGGTCCTAAAGGGCATCCCTTACTGACACTGTGTTTTTCATTATATACAGTGGGACTTTGCAGTCCAGTGATCAAGGATGGAATTTAAGGGTTGTTTTCTTTCTTGTTTTTTGAATTCATCGTAGCTAACTTTATCTAGCTACAGCTTAAATGATGCTCTGCTTGCTAGCCCATAGACTTATGCCGCTCTCCTCATCATCGTCCTACATTGAAGACAGCACAAAAATAGCCTTTTTCACAGATATACAAATAATGTTCCGTCAAATTCAGATAGACCACCGATATATTGATCTGCAACGGATTGTGTGGAGCACGGACGAATCCATCTCAAATTATTCTCCAACAGATTTTCTTGGCTTATCCAACCAACGATTAACTCATCACCAACCGTATCGTTTACATACAAGAGCTGCTCACGTTACACGTCTGGTGATATGTTTCAACAACATTTAATGAGGCAGATATCGCTTTCAAAGTAGTGATCTCTCTACGTTGGCACTAGATCGTGTATGGTGAGTAGATCCTTATCTGACTCGTCCTTCTAAATAGTTCGTTGACTTTATTAAGTGTATCCATACGGACAATGCTTGATATTAGGTAAATAAACTAATTTCATAGATTAATCTGGTAAGAACAATTTTAATACACGATTTAACTTACTAACTTGACTCAAGCTTGAGCAGGATTTATAAGGAAGCAGATTTATAAAAAATAAGCGTTAATAATTTTACCGATAAACTAGATTCAAGCATAAATTCATTGCCAATTTAATCAAGACACGCAAGTTGATAAATAAGAAAAATAATTTTCAGATTAAAAACATGTAATTTTAATCGAAACGAAATAAGCCTTAACTAATAATATGCTTGAGAAAAAAATCTTGAGTCTTAATAGCAGTGTAATTTAAGCAATTAATTTCAAATTCAACCAAAAAGCAAGTACGTGCAATGGACTTACAGTTTTGGATTACTTTAAGTGAATATACGCATACATTATTCTGTAGACTCGTTTTATAGATTACTTTCCAACTATAGCTGAGTTTGCGTTAATCAGCTGTCAATAAACATACACGATAATGACAAATAAAAACCAACTTAATAAAACATTTTCGGCTTTGTGACCAAATAAGTAAAATTTTTCCAAAATCTCATAGAAAGTTGAATAATACAATATTTTTTTATAATATTAATCACATGTATTAACATCTCACAAATATTACTTATATTTTACATGTATCAATAAACAAAATGATGATTAACAAAATTAGATTAGTGATTATAAATACCTACTCTGTTCGTGTAAAGGTGACAAAAGAACTTCTTTACTTCTTTCAAGTGCTTCATCAATCTCAATAAAAGATGAAGTATCCAATATATCTTCAGATAACTGATTACCTTGAATAATATCATCTATTTCTTTTAAAACCTCATCAGCTGTTTTAACAGGATAATCTGTAACGTAATTATCGTGACGACTAGAGAGGATGAGGGTATGCAAATCTAGATCCGTAGCTACAGATTCATCTTCACTACTTAAATCTTCAATTTTATTTCTATAAATAATACAAAATATACGTCAAAGCTGAATTCTCATTTTATCAAATAAAAAGCTTATAAGGTAACAAATAGAACAATCATGCATGTAAACTAATTCTGGCATATACCACATTCAATTTTTTTTAAGAATGTAATTTTTATTTATTTCAGTAACATCACTGATGGCATTTTTTTCTGCAATTCCCTTATATCTATAACATTTATGCTACTTGTAATTCATTTAATAAAACTTAACATAATTCTAAAAAGAAAGAAAAAGCCTGAGAAAAATCTGAAAGTGCTAATCTAACCAATGGCCGACGTCACTCAGTGGCCAATTTTACTTTTACACATAAGGTTGATTTTCTAGTACTCAGGCCCTTACGCACACAAAATGTCCAAATGATCGGTCACTTTTTTTTTTATAGGCTTTCGCTCTATTTTTAATTGGTTATACACGTTAATTTAAATGAAAAAGTAATTGTTTAGAATCTAAATAACTACTCGTTTTATCTACGTTTTTAAAGCTTATATCGAAAAAATCAGCCTAATAATCGACTATTACAACATGACCCGTTACTGAGACATTGACCTTAACAAAACAAGATATTTTCGAAAGTATGATAATACTTTTAAACCTCAATATTTAACAAAAAAAAAAAAATATTTAGAAAAAAACTTGAAAAACATTATTGATAAGAATAAAAATTCATTTCATAATTTAGATAAAATTATCGAACGTAACTTTAGGATGTGATTAACTAAAGTACCAAGAAAGCAGCACCTTTAGGTTTTATAAATAATTTTAATAAACAAATTATGTAGCAAAAGTCAGAATTTCACGATAAAAAATTTTTTGTTTCCCACCCTAAACGAACAAATTTCAACCAATCATTAAAATTATTTAGGAGTTGATAAAAGGCGTTAAAAATGAAAAGCATAGCTATATTTATCATTTAAATGACATTTTAATATTTCAGTGCCTTCCTGACACACTTCTCAGGAAGCTGTATGAAATAAGTCAAAAGTAAATAACGATATGAATGAGCAAATAAATTACCAAGTACTGCATGACTAAGTCAAGAGTTAGTCAGCTGTAGCTATCAAAGAATCTCCTTAAATCAAAATACAACAGTAAAAATATTTGTATATGTGCGTCTTTTATCCATTGAGACAGTAATGTAATAACAAATACTTAAATGAAAACACGGTGACAATTTATCAATTACTTTTTGACTAGACCATAGGTGTTGCGTTAATTTATGAAAACAAAAAAACAAAACAATAGGGTCAAAAACTAAAGGAAGCATGCACAAAGCAACTTGATATAAAATTCCTCTCATAACGCGAAGACCCCGCTAAAACACAACTCACAGCACTACAAAACCACTAAAGCAGCAAAAATAAGGTGGACAGTGAGGGCACGCAGTAACAATATTGTTATAAGTAGTTGCCACACGCAGGTTTCAAATGATATTTTTTACACCACGCAAAAAGATTTTGTATTCGATCTGCAGTTCTTTGTAAGTAAAGTAAGGTAACGATTTTAGAATGGTCACCTCAAAAAATGTGTAATAAAAGTAAGTTTTTTGTTCTACCTCCATTCCCCACTCTGCCCCGACATCACTACTAAAGCACGTATGTGAAAGTTATCTCTTAATTTTAATTCTACTTTTTCAGCTTATGCTGCTAAAAAAAAAAAGTACTTTTTACGAGATTCAAATGTTCACCTACTGCAAGCGAGTGAAGTATCGTGTCAACTCTGCCACGAGATCTTTTATATAGGGGTACCACTTTCTTTTTTTTATAATATGGTTCGTAACTTATTTTAAATCTAAATATTTATTTACTATTCTTTAAGTGATATAATTAAATTATGAATTGTATACGTTAATAAATAATATAATGCATAGAATAAAATGATTTTTGTAAGCTTCCTAAGACTTTCTTCTAGTAGCAGCTATTAAGTATACTTGCATTACGTAATATGTATTTAATTTCATGTTTAATGTGATATTTAAATAAATTGTTATTTGTTCAGTTTTTTTAAATATGAGCCTTTTTGCCTCGTTCATATCATCACTTAATGTCATTTCCCGCACCATAACAGAAACTAAAGGAAAATTTATTTCAAGACCCTTACAACATAAGTGTAGTTACAATTTTCATTAAAGGACAACACCAGTACAAAAAGAAGAAACGCTTAACTGCATTACCAAACGTTATTTAATAAGTTAGTTTTCTTACTTTAACTATTTCATAAAAAAAATTTGTTATTGAATAATACTAACAAATATAAATAGTTTAAATAAGTCATTATGAAATGTTAAACTTCCCTAAGCTTTTACTTTTTTCTTAAAAGTAGTATTTATGCGGGTTATATGACACTCGAACTTTCGCAGTAGATTTAAAAAAATGTATGGCAAACCATACTTATTTTTAGTTTTTATTTTAAATTTGTAGTATAACTTCAATTTTAAGTTAGCAATAGTTTAAATTGTGCATACTTTGAAGACTTTTAGCTGTATAATATAATCCTAGAAATTATACGTAGTGGCAGACAAAAAGTCATTCATCAGTTAGAGATGTCTTTTTTCAGAAGTAATCAATAGATAAATAATACTTTCTTAATGATACATAACTGAAACTTAAGCCTCCAAGGCCCTTGGAGCTGTTAAGCTACGATCCTTTTGTCCTTAGAGTTGACTCAGACAACCGTTGATGTGACACGATACATCTGTAAACCTTCTCTCCGTTTTTTCCATGACATCGTTTTTAACAGAGTCTGTAGTAACTATGTCCTTTACTCGCCTTAACATTTGATGATTAAAAAAAAAACTTACCAATATTGTTAGAGTATCTTTTTACGACCATCATTGTCAGCGATTAATTGACATGCAAGAAGTGTCTTCTTTAGTTTAGGCACAACGGTAACAAATTTTGTGTGCCAAGTCATCTTGCTTACGAATCACCTCGTCGAGTGTATGCACAACTTTTAGAAGATATTGATTGATACAGGAACAAAGAAGTATTTACTACGAATAATTACTGGAGCTTAGCAAAATTGAATTATTGTTGCACCAGTAAATCGGCAAAATAATCACGTGGGGTGCAGTGCTGAAATTCCTGACTCCAATACGCGTAAATTATAAACAGTTTCGTTGTCTATCCATTAAACACAGGTAAGGTGTAAAGAAAAATTAAGCAGGTATCAAGCAATCTCGAAAATTTGCGACTCATTAAAATTGCTGACACCTTGAAAAAAAAAACAAAAAAGAATCTTGAATCAGACCGCATGGCCGTACTCGACAAGTAAACGAAGCCTACATCCCGATCGTTAGAGGGCACATTCAAAATGGTATGCCACGTAGCGATAACAGCAATGCAATACTTTGGACACACACAATAAATTTCTTGTAAACGCGGCGTAAGTATGATCATTAACGTTAAATTTCAAAACAGTACGGTAAAACTATGTCAGACAACAAAAATGACGACATAGCAAACGTGCATATGCACACTCGTGCTCGTATAGTGAGTGAAAAACAGATGAAAAAAAATTTCGTATGAAGTGAAAGAAAAACGAATAAAAGATACAGAAGTAGAGCAATATATTTGCATATATTAGTTTTTAACCAATTCGGTCCAGAAAAAGGACTAACGAAAGTTAAATATTTACAAACTACCAATTACAAATTTTAAAACGTATTACCATATAAATCAAAATTTCAGTACTTCAGCTTAGACTAATTTTATTCTATATCTGTTTTATCCTATGCCTAGATAACAATATCACTTTTTTCACTTATTTCATCGTAAATGTACAAATTTTTTTTTTTTTTTTACAAAAACAAATACCTACTCTCATAGTGTATTTACTTTGAGGCTTTATTGTAAACGAGTACATATAGCGTTGGTACATAAGGCACATTGTTACATTATATTTATTACATATTATAAGTAAATGATTTACATGTTACATTGTTGGTTACATTTTCACATTTATACAGTTGTAGTTTCGTTGGTACGTTGATGATGTCACATAGACCACCTCGAGAACGAAAGATCTATGTGGTAGGCAATTTTCGATGCGAGAAGGTCGCCTATTCTTCCACGAGGAGCATTGAGTGGTGAAAAAGCTTATGTGAAAATTCACAGAGGTACTTGCTCGGGAGAGCCGCACTGGCCAGGAAACGAACCCGCAGTATTGTTTAGCCTGTTCCATATTTTCGATATTTTATACAAGTGAACAACCTTTAATATTTCATTTACATCTATATAACACCATTTAATTCTCCGCACATTTCATTTTCTTTGACAGTTACATACTCTTTTATTAAATGTTCTAAGCTTCTTTCCTTACAATTACAAAATTCACATAATCTTTTATCTATTTCTAACCAAAATCTGTTTCGACCATCTAGATTACCGCATCTCGCTTTTGCCATATGACTTATACGAATATCTTTGAATTCGTTATTTAAGTACTCTGCCCTCCTTATTACCATAATATCTTTATACCTAGAGTTATACTGTGAGTTTTGAATATTGTCTTCCGTTACTTGATTGTCTATATCCCTCATACGCTCACCTATCCTATCCTCTGCTAGTATGTTTTGACTTTTCCACCCCACCAGTGTACAATCACTATACTCTAAAATATTTAAAATCGACTTTTAAGTGAATGGACTTTGAACAAAAAAAAAGTCCTGCCACTCTGCCACACGTTTTTTAAAATACCTTTTATTAAGAAATAGTGTAACAACAAATTTTTGGACCTAATAAGAGGACGAAATTAGGCCAACTCAATCCGTGCGAGAATGAATGGGAATAAGTTTAAAACTATGTACGCATCGACGTATACATATATACAATAGATATGCAAAAGTGTATTTTGAAAATATAAAAAATATAAACTTACAAGCATATACAGACATACTCTTATTCTTGCAACGGAGACATAGTTAACCAAATTACTACCCTCATGAAGTCCCAAAATTTCTACAACTCAACTTCA